GTGTGCAAAAATAAAACCTAAAGAAACAGTAAAATCTGAAACACAAAAAGATATTCAAGCATTTTGGCAGGGAGTTTAGGTGATGTCAGAAAACAAATCTAAACAGAAATGTTTCTATGGAATTTTTTTTTTTTTGGAGACCTAATTGGAAACAGATTTTAGCTTCGGATTTAAACATTTCCCTGCAGCATCTGCAATGCTATCCCTGCATCGTGCATTTTAGTCTCGAGGAGGACAAGTATGAGGCTGTTGAGCAGAGGAGGGCAAAAGCCAGCATCCTCCTGCTCACGTTATTGCCACAGGTTTAGCCAGCGGTCTTGGGAAAATCACACAACCTGAATCTGCTGGGGTTTTTACCCAGTAGACTTCAAGATAAATTACAAAATCAAGAGATCCCTGTCCATTGATCTCTGCCTTTCTGCCCTCACAAATCCGGCATTTCTTGCTCCACTGAGACAGAGCTTTGAGAAGCGTGAGGAGCTCAGGGTGGGTTAACATCACAACTGGATGAGGTTGGGCTCTTCTTTAGGTGGACCGTGTAGATTTGGAACTCCTCTCAGGATGGGCATCCCATTCGGCCCAGACATCTCATTTCCCGACTCAGTGTGTTAGAGTGAGCAAGATCCACCGAGAAAAAGAAAGACGACCAGTTTTCCACTGGATCAAGAGTCTGATCTGATGTGAAGCGGCCCACAGCCGCGTGTTTGTTAAATCCAACCTGGGGAAGGGAGCAGGAGCACAGCTGGAGGCAGCGTAGGGGACCAGGACCTGTGACAGGCTGCAGTGCCATCATATCGAGTAAAACATAAAACCACAGCCCAAGTGCATGTGCAACATCTGGGAAACGCAGAAATTTGGACAACTACGGCACTTGGCCCTGCAGATGGCCCTGAAGATCATCCAGAGGATGACAAGTGTTGCTAGAAGTCTTGCTATGGAGGGGACAGACCCAGATCTTTCCAGGGTTGGACATGAGACAAAATCGGTATGAACAAGACGGCGGAGGCCGGCAGATGAGTGTTTGCTGTTTGCTTGCTTTCCCGGGAACCGGGAGAGGCCAGTTGACAGACGAACAGCTCCTCTGCGCGGCAGCTGCCTGGCCAGCACGGATGGGCAGCGGGGGATTTTAATGTGAAACGCTTGGCTGGATATAGATAAAACTCCACAGGCACCGTCTAAAGACGAGACCCATCTGACAGCAAAGCTTTTGAACTGTCAACGGGTTCACGCTGTGCAGGCGGGAGAGGACAACGGTGACCATCCGTTTGTTCATACAGTATTTATTTATCGATGCCATAATAAAATTATCCTTATTTTATGTTTTATTTTTCAGAAAACAAACTCTCCCCTTTTCCCCCTTATGCCAAAATATAGTCTGGCAGCGCTTCCGTCACCCTCTCCGTCGTCTAAAAACATCCAACAGCGCTGCAATATCGTGGTGAAGTTTTTTTGCAGGCAAGCCTACCAGGAGAGGATGGCAGAGAAACCGGCAACTCCAAAATCAAAAACCTGACACAAAAACCTGCCTCAATAGCAGCCTCCAAATTGCTGTCTGGGGAGATTATTAATAAAGCAAATAAATAAAGTTGTCTTCATGCCAGCTGAGACCTAAGTACTTGCTAAAGACATATAATCCCATCGGTGAGGTGCGACACAATCCCAGGATGCAGTTATTATTTTACGCATTTATTTACATATTAACATTTAATATATAAATTATTAATGTATGTATAATTTATATATTAACATGTGGAGTTAGCCTCCATTCATATCAATGCTCTTTTTTTTTTTTTGATGCTGACCTTGTCCCCAGAGAAAGCTTAAAAATACCAATGAGCACTCCTATATCTTTATCTAAAGCCCTCCTTAAATTATTTTCTTTTAAAAACTAAAAATCCTGCATGCTAACAATGATTAGTCAAGTAATGAGCTGGCATAGTCTAGATTTCCGTGGCTTTTTTTATTCCTTGGGTCTTGCTTCTCACCTGTTTCCTATTTTAGCTAAGAGAAACGACACAAACAGCATCTAATTCACAAACTTGGTCACATTACCATTGTGTTAATTGGCTTTTAAAATAAATTGTGGCCCTGTGCCTTCCTCTGGGGCTTTGAGGGGCTCAGATGCTGCAGTCAGGTGGATCCTTGTAGGGATCCTCATTTGGGAGCTCCCTTCAAGCGCAGGTAAAATAGACAACGAAGTACCTCACAGCGAAGGATTTTAAAACTGCTGCTCTCCACAGCACCGTCAGCTTTGTATTAAAAGAGCAGCAGTATGCTGTTTATAACTAAAACACTGAATTTAAATGGGGTCTGATCACCAGGTGTGCAAACAACTTTGGGTGCTACGCTTTCACTGAGTGGTATAAAATTGAGCATCTTTGTTCCTAAATCACTTCTGAAACTGGAATTTGCTTCTCTTTTGTTTTTGTTTTTGTTTTTTTTTTTTTAAAAAAAGAGCCCTGAAGTTTACCTTGGTCACTGCAGGTCCGGGCACGTGCTGGTCCTCCTCCTGCCTGGGAGCACCCAGGATGGGAAGGCGAGCCAAAACCGGCCATGCTTGACCATGCACCCGCTTCATGGCATCAACCTGCAAAGTCAAGCACGACGAGAAGTCGTAACCCCCCCTTTTACTTTCCGTCGTGCCCACAGGACCAGACTGCAAAGCAATAAGCTTAGGAGGAAGGCTTAATTATAAAGCCATCAGAAAAAACACTGATGTTTGAATCACTGTTTTCAGCAATAACAGAAGAAATGAAAAGCCAAACCGAGGTGCAGCTCCCTTAAGCTCCCTTCTTCATATTTCACAGAGTTGTCCTGTTGAGTTTTGTGTTCGGTTGTCTCATTTACTGGGTCAAATAACACGTTATCCCTTCCGCTGCTGCTGCTGCAGAACTGCGGCAGCTCGGGGAGACGCAGCGGCAACCCATCCTGCTGCATATTTTAACTAATCTTCATAGCTGTAACTTGTGTTTGATCAGAAACCACTGAGACAGTAAAAAAAGAATCCCTTTGGTGTTACTTTATCTTTTTTTTTGTGGGGGTTTTATCGTGGTTTGTAGTTCAAGTGGTACTTGAGTTCTTTGAGTAAATACTCCTAGCGATGGCGCATGCTTGTATGTTACGGTGAGTCGGTCAGTAGCGGTAACTGCAGCATTACCACCATTTTTTAGTTGACTCGCTGGCTCAATTAATCTGTGTCCTAACGACAGGACGTTTATGAAGCTTAAACTGTGAGTACTGGAACTGGGAGGAATTCGCCTTCTCCAGCCTCAACTGCCAAGGTGGGTGTCTTGACCCTGCAAACGAACGCAGCTAACGACACACCCCCCCAGCCCCCGTGGGGAGAGAGAGGCCTTCCCACAGCAGGTAGGCGCTGCCGGGAAAAAAGTTGTAATTATAATTCGTTAATCACGCTATCGCAGCATCCTCGGGGTGCGTGAGCAGCCTCCGCTCTGGCTTTAAACCTGGCTCTGTGGGGACAGGTAACCTTGGCCTGCTCGTGTGCCCCCGTCGCCCCAAGCCCCTCAGCTGCCCACGACCTCCCTACCCCGATTACCGGGCTCCCGTCACCCACCACCCCGCTTTGTCCCCCAGCCCTGTCACCCTCATCACACCCGGGGGTCCCCGTCCCCCCCCCGGGGCCTCTCGCCCGTTGCCTAGCGACGCGGCCACGCACTGCGGCCTAGGCCGCCATGTTAGGACCAGCCTGGGGGCCTGCGGCCTGCTGAGGGGAGGCAGGAGGGAACGGGTTTCCCCTCACAGACCCTCCCCGGGCCCGGGGGAGCGGACAGGCCCGGCGAGGGGGGCAGGCTCAGGGGTATCCATTGTGGGCTGCCTGGAAGAAGCTGCCCTCTCCCCTCAAGGAAAGCCGGCAGCCTGTGTTTCAAGACCCTCCTCATGAAAATTGCAAAAAAAAGGCTACAGCACCTTCCCCCCCTCCCCTGCAAAACAGACCATTTCTTGCTATTTTAAGTGAGTTAGATCAGCACAAGGCCTGATGTGATGGAGAGGGACAAGACATGGCCGGGAGCAGGGGATGGGAGAAGGGGGTGAGGCCCCTCTTGCACAGCGGTGGGCTGCTAGCTTGGCGCCGATGCCCATAAAATGGCAGCCTGAGCTGAGTGAATTGCCTTAAGCATGTCTGGAAGTAGTTTTCTTGGAGCAATGGTACCGATGGGTGGGTTTTGGTAGTGCTCTCTCTCTTCCCCTGTCCCCCCAAATTGGAAATGAGCTTTAGAAATATCAAGATTTTAGTATCCTGTTGTTTCTCTTTTAAAATTTTTCATCTTTCTTGCTTGAACAGGTTGTTTTGGGTTTTTTTCATGTGTTGTATTCAAATATTTAATTTGTTTTGAAATTGCTGGGTAGTATCAGTGTTAAGAAGTCGATGATGAGAATATCTGTGAAAGAGTCTCAGCTAAGCATACTTTGAGGGCAATGTAATTGTGGTTCTCCATCATTGTCAAGAGTGACCAGCAGCACCTTAATCATGTTAGTTTTGATTATGAGCTCTCTCTAGAAGCGACAAAGTTCGATTCTTGCATTCATTAAGAATGGGGGGGGGGGTTCCCATTCTTTTCCAGATTTCCTTTTTACTCCCTTTTCTGTAGCCACTTGTATGAGAACTAGCCTAAAAATATTCCAGACATCAGGTATCGTCTTTTACCACATTTTTTTCTGCTGCAAGAATGGTGTTCTCCATTGTCAATACAAACTCTGTCTCCTTGGCTTTGGAGGCTAGCTGCTGTGGCGAAGGCAGGCAGGCTTTTTCTTTGTTTGTTTTCAGCTTTGAATTGACTTTTCCGTCCATTTTAGTAGGCCACAGACTAATCCACATCTCAGTGTGATACAATAACATGAAGAAGTTGGCTACAGGCCTTAACTGTGTGTTCTTGTCCTGCTTTAGGTGAATTTTCTCTCTGCTTAGCTGACAGCCACCTACGTGCTTAGCAAGCATCCTTTCACCGTGGACAAGTATTTTCTTTCCTGTCTTGTCAAGAGGATTGTGGCCTACAGAGTAATAAATATCTGCATATCAAAATAGTAACTAACTGTATAGAATGGTGTGTCCATAGGCACACAGGTTGTGTGGGAGGGTATACGGTATTTATCTGTATTTTACTACTTTTATTTTAATATTTAAGGAAGACGTTCGTCATATTTCACTTGCTGTTCTGTGAGGCAAACTCAGTATACATGTAGACCAGGTTGTTCCAAGGTTTAACCGTAAGTATTACATTATGTAAAACCTTGCAATTTGCTGACTTGTCATGACCCATGACCATAAACATATATTAACCAAGGAATGTGCATGCACAAGTTGATGGGAAGGTAATGCTCTAGGTCATTTGCCCCATACTTTATTTTTTGTCAAGCTACCATGGAATGGAAAATAGAATGCAAAGCCCAATGGAATTTTAAAATAAAACGTCACGTTGTTTCAGAGTTTACATGTTCATTCTTGCCTCTTGATATGTTTTCCTCTTCTGTTTGAAGGAACTGGAGAGCATTATGGAATCTGCAGAAGAGTTAATTAATTTTAATGTCGGTGGCTGGTATTTCTCAATTCCCAAAAGTAAAGTCGCTCAGTTTCCTGAATCTCTGTTGTGGAAAGAAGCTTGTGTACAAGATCAGTCTGAAAATCTAAGATTATTTATTGACCAAGATGGTTTTATATTTAGACACCTTCATTATTACATGCAGACTTCAAAATTATCTTTTTTCAGCTGTGCTGAATTGAACTTATTGTATGAGCAAGCATTAATTTTGCAGCTGACACCTTTATTACAGGTAAAGTGGGATATTCCATGTGGCTTTTCTATAATTTTTTCATTCTTAGATAATATTGTCTGTAGAATGATGTCAAGGAGTTTGCGTATATCACTTTATCAATGCTTGCGATAGGTATCCAAACAAATAATTGCCACATTCAACTCATCTGCCTCAGTTGGTGAGTACAGAAAATGTTACAAATTTCATGCTTGACCTTTCTGTAAGAGCTCTTTCAACAGCCATTACGTGCTTTTTTTTACCAAATTTAAAGCAAGCGGAGACTTTTATCTGCCAGCTGTTGTGCTTTATGACAATTATATTGATTGATCTTGCTGAATATGAACCTTTGAATGTGAAGAAGGTGAGTCTGCCCAAAACCAAATTCATCCCAGTGGGACACCACTGAATTCACTATCCTGTCAAATGGGGAAACGACGATTCTTCCTATTATGCAGCTATTCTGTAGCTGCATAAATAGAAATGTTAAATGGATGTCTGTAAAGAATATTTAATTTACTGTTTAGCGACAAGTATTTTTTATTGTAATTGCAGTGTAGTTTTGCATTGTGCCAGTGAAGGCTGAGTCCATACTTCCTGGTTGGATGAAATGTGCATTTTCGTACATTAATATTTGCATTTCCTCTAAGTTTAGACTAAACTCTGCATTTCTTTTGGTTTCTAAAACTTTTTTGTGGAATTGTCTCAACGATGCTATATTATGCTTGATATTTTTAGCCCAAAATATTAACATTTTGGGTTTGACCTGAACACTTTTGGATTTTCTTTTAGGACTGTGTTTAAAGATGTAATGTTTCCAAATAGGTTGGGAGAGGAAGACCACCAAACCTCAGTAGTCTATTGTATTAGCAAACCGTACATGATCACGTTTAACATGGACCTGTTGTGGTATGGCCAGGAACACATTCCACCGAACTAGAATTCTTGCATTTTCTGGCTTTTAAGTGCTTGTCAGTGTAACCTTTTTAATTCATGAAGGTATTTTACGCGTGTGCTTTAGAAGTCATAACCGTGGCTCTAAAGTTACTTTATACTTAATATCCTACAACAGTACGTAACCATTTGTTCCATGTTTAAAATAATTTGTTTATCATTCAGTAAAAGATTCGGAAATACAGACTGTTAAACGTTCCTATCACTGAGCCAAACATCGATTCCCCTTTCTAATCATTGAATTCCTACAGCTTATCATACAGGTGTTATTAAAAAGAGCCCAAAAGGTCTTTCAGGCTTTGTGTTGTTTTCTTGGCTATTTCTACTGTTGTATACTTTTATGCATGCCAGGGTGCTGTCTTGAACTCCAGAGCTAGAATACAAGGAAGTGCCATTAAAACACAAATGTCGAAAAATAGTTGGCTTTTTTGGAATATATGAATGGCTCTGATTATATTACAATTTCTTATAAATGTTCTCTTACAAGTTCATTCCATTTACCTTTAGGTACCTAAAACTTAGGAGTGTATTTGTGCTAGTCTGTACGCAGTATTCCATGGCATATTTTAGTAGATGTGAAGTACAGCATTGCACGCATTAGGCTCTTTGCCATGGGTGCTTTCGATTTTTGGATTAATTATTTGATTTGAAGTAGTAAATAGAAAAACTTTACATATCTTGACAGATTTTAGATCATTTGAAGGAGGCGAAATATAATTTACGTGTCCAGCCTGCAGATACACCAGCAGCTGAAAGAACATCTCTGAATTACTGGAGAACACGCAAATGTACCAGCAAGCCATCAGAGACTCCTCCTAACAGTCCAGCATTCACAGGTAAGTGTCCCAGATTGACAAATTCTTTTGCACCCTTAGGAAGGCCCATAGACTGTTGTCAGTTGTTGCAAGCCAGGAATGTTTTAGTCTTGCAAAGTTTATTTTTTTGTGATTTTTTTTTGATTAGTGACCTTTATTTAAAAAATAGGAAACCCCATGCAAATGTTTATTCATTTGTGCTGGGCTGTAAGACTTCATCCTTTGGTGAACATTAAATGTTGCGCAAGATTAATGCACTTTTATTGGCTTGGCTGTACTAGTCAGATCTCCAAAGTGTATATCTGAGTCCCATTTTTCTTTCCTTATATCTTGATTTTTCTCTGATTTTCTTTGCCTAGGGTTACATGAAAGAGCTCCCCTAGGGCTAGTGGATACACCTTTACTAGATACGGAAGACGAAGTGAATTACTGCTTTTTGCCACTAGATTTGGTGGCAAAATATCCTGTACTAGTTAAGGATGACAATTTGCTGTGGCTGCTTGAGAACGCAGCCCTGATCGAGTGCGAGTGCAGTGAGTTCCGCTTCATAGGTAACTGGTCTTTTTTATTATTATTCTGACATGTCTAAATTTTTTACATTAAACTGTTTCTGTCTAGCTTCAATAATACTTCTTTAGAGATCAGAATCTTGTAATCTTTTGGGTTTGGTTTGGTTTTGCTGTCTGCCGGTTTTACTGCCCTGTTTATCAGTCAAGAAACAAAGCCTCTACCGGGTGCCTTTCAGAGTACATGTACCTAAATTGACCCACTTATGGCTCTGCTTATTTGGGTTTTATTAATTCGGCAGTTTTCTGAACTAAAATGCATCAGTGGCATCAGGAACCAGAACTGCTGTTAACAATCGGTAATTAAGGTAGACAAAGCTTACATGGTGACTCTAAATCTCTACTCGAGAAGATACTCTTGTACCTTTTCACTAGTAAAAAATCATGTTTCATTCATTAAATCATCTTCCAGCTTCAAAAAAAGACAAGTACTTCTCAAAAGTACAGCGGGATCACATACCTCCTCCATCAACATAATATTTCATCCTCTGTGAACTCAGTTAAGATGAGATAGATGAGAAATTGCTGCAGTTTTGCTCTGCCAGTCCTCTGATGTTAGCAGAGGGGAAAACACGTGTTTAAATGCACAGTGGGACGGGACTGTGCCTGGGGGCGGGGGCAAGGGGGGGAAACAGCCAAACAAACAGGAAACCTCTTACATGAATCTCTCAGGCTGCTGTGATAAACAAAACTAACCTAATTCTGTGCTTCCCCTTTCGTTTATACTGTGTCTGGTCTCCTCTACCATAAACCTTGTTTTTAGGGTTGTGTTTTCGAAGACAAAGCGTTCCCTGCTGTGTATATGTGCGTATGTGAATAGTAATACTGAGGGAAATGGTAAGAACCTCTTTTTGCTAGATCTGAGCAGTGGACGGAAGATGTCAACACACACTTCCTGTGCTTTATTTTTATTTTCAAGTTAATTTTCTTCGCTCAGAGAAGATGTTGTTGCCTGATGACTTCTCCAACATAGATGCCTTGGAGGAAGAAGTTTTAATTCTGGGAATTCCTGAGCTTATAGACGCTGTGAAGATCTATAGAGGTAATATAATGTACATAGCTATATATTTTCTTCCTTATATGCATTGGTTTTAATGTTATCTTGTGAAATTGGGTATTTGAAATGGAAATTATATTGATGATCAACACTGAGGTGCGTTAGCAACTCATTTCCGTAAAATGTTGAAAACAGTGGAAAATACGGCGGTGATTATTAACCGCTGACCTTCTGGGGCGCAGTCTCTGAGCTCCTTTCTTTGCAGGCAGCTGCTCCGTGGTGTCCCCTGCCGGGGGGCGGCAGGGG